TTGTATTCTTGATATCTATTTATAAATAATAGCCTAATAGTATTAAAAAAGTGACTTTAACTCTAACTCTGCCTTAGCTAACTTCTAAATTAGACAGAATAGCATGATAATTGTTATACAATTTTGAAATTAATTAAATCTAATAATAAATTAAAATCAGCTGTATTTATTATTAACAAATTATTCAAACTAATTATTCATTACAGTATTGAAAGAAAAGAGAAGAAAGCATACGAATATTTAAAAAATCTGCTTATTCAAAGAATACTGATATAACATTTAATCTTAGCTATTGTTAGCAATATGGAATAAGAGTTGAGAAGAATGAATTTAAAGTATTTAAATACTTTCAGAAATCTGCAAATATGCTAATAAAACATATTTGTTATGATAAAAAAATTGGAGTAGAACATTATCAGAAATCCGCTGATATAGTAATGTTATTAGAATATGTGATGTTGCTTGTTGCTATGATACTAAATAATATCAGTTTTAAAAATTCAAATTTTTTAAAATGCTTTAGAATATCAAACCATAATGCATCTAAATATTATATTATTGCTATTGAATATACTTTATTAGGTTGTTTACATAAAAAACTATATTCTATAATGAAAATAGAATGAAAAGATAAATTAAATATATTGCTTTTGATCTTGAAGTAATTCTTTCTCAAAATTTTATTTATTGAGATTTACATAGTGGAAATATAATACAAAATAACTTGAAAAGTATATATATTGCAGATTTAGGACTTTTAATATCATCTAATATAGCATTGAATACAAAGCCTAATAGAGTTTGTAGGATTTTACCTTACATTGCTTCTGAAGTTTTGAATAGAAAAACATATACTATATTATCAAATATTTATTCATTTGATTATGTGGAAAATTTTGTATAGAACAAGGTGTTACTCAAGCAATAGTATTATAAACAGGTGAGTAACCTAAAGCTAAAATTTAGATTAGATCTAATCTCTAAAGATGATAATATAAAGGAAATATTAACAAAAGAAAATATGTTTTAGATTCTTTATAATAAATTAGTGAATAGAAAAAGGTAGTTTGCAACTATAATGAAGGTAATAATAGTATAAAAATAGAATAAATTTTATAATAAATCAAGAATAAAATTTTGCTAATACTTTGGTAATAATAAATTTTATTTTACTATTCAAAATTAAAAAATTTGATATATCAGATTTTTTAATTTTGACTAGTCTTTGCAAATTAAATTTTTTGATGATTGATTCAATTGGCTAATAGTTATGTTTTAATTACATTAAACATCAGTTATATCAAATATCGAATATTATATCAAATATCAAATATTATATTAAATATCAAATATTATATCAAATATCAAATGTTATGTTAAACATCAAATGTTATATCAAGGTCTAGTGATCTTAGCGTAGTGGTTAGGTTGCCAGACTGCTATGCAAGAGGTCTAGGGTTCAAATCCTACTGTCGATGAATTTGAATAATTATCCAGACCTTTGTACCTAACTTACAGTAAACTTTGTCTGTTTCTGGGGTTGTAACCCTGTAAGTTAAGTTGCACCAAGTTAATTAGACATTGGTAGTATAGCAGTAGTTAATCACAGGATGATATGCGCACATGAATAAATCTTGATAGAAAAAACATTAGTGTGGCAGCAGTTAATCACAGGATGATATGCGCACATGAATAGTCTATAGGCAGGGGACCTGCATGGTAGAAATCCCGAGTTGGTGAAGTAGTATAGCTTTTAACAGTCATACCAGCTAACGCTTGATCTAGAAAGGAAACTATTATCAAAGATGCAGATCGAGTCGAATGCGCATAAATCTGTTTTATGAGGAGAATTGGTAATACTAACTTGGCTTGATGGCTAACTGGATTAGGAGGATTTGTTTCATGAAACATTTGAGATTATAGAATACAGAAAACTGGTGGAGAGCCACAGTAGGAACTGGGGTTGTATGAACATCTACAAGGGTCTAAGCTAGGCGAGCTCATGAAATGGACATGGGCTGCTCTAGTAGATTTGCTTCAAGGTTAACTGGAGCTCTGCGGACTCACAATATATTGAGCAATAAGCATCTCAAGAAGACCTAAGCTGATATCGAAAAATGAATCTGTAACGAGCTAGCTAGTTTAAGCGGTTAGATGTTATAGTAATGTTAGTTTGTAACAGTATGGGTTAGTTGAACAAAGTGTTTAAATAGGTAACTCACAGGCAGGTTACAGGTATTGTAGCATAGTGTAGAACTAATCAGGTAGTCTATTACCTATGCAGCGGACTACTTAAATTAGATAATGACTAAAGTTGTATGAGTAGCTTGTTGTACACTCTTCATATAATTACAAACTGTAAGGATTACTCTTATATAATCTCATATATCAAACTAATAAAAATCACCCAGCAATGTAAGCCACCTTAAAAATAAAATAAAAAAATTAAATATTACATCAAATATCAACTTAGGTCAAATATCAATATCACATTACTTATATCAAATATCTAAAATCACATTACTTATATCATATTAATATGATCCCAAGGGTAGTACATCACCTACGTTATAGCTATAGTGCTAAAGGTAATAACTACTCTGATAAATGTTTGTAGCCTTAATATATATAATATACTATATTTAAAATTATAAAAGTTTAGTGATCTTAGTATAGTAATTAGATTGTCAGACTACTATATAAGAGATTTGAAGTTTAAATCCTACTACCAATAAATTTAAAATATTACTCAAATCTTTGTATCTAACTTTAATAAACTTTGTCTGTTTCTAAGGTTATAACTTTATAAATTATATTATACTAATATCAATTGAATATTAGAAATATGATATAATATTGAGTTATATTATATAAATAAATTTTGATAAAATTTATAAACAAGGAACCTATATAGTAGAAATTCTAAATTAAATAAAGTAGTATAGATTTTAACTATCATACTAGTTAATACTTGGTCTAGAAAAGAAGTCTGTATATGAAAGATATAGATTGAATAGATGCAAATAAATTCACTATATAATGTAGCCTAATGCTTTGCATAAGTAGTGACATCAACTTAGCTTGACAGCTAACTGAATTTGAAAAGCTCTATCTTATAAAATATTTAAATATATAGAGAACTAATCTAGTAGAGAGCTATAGTAGAAACTAAATTCATATGAATATCTATAAAGATATATACTAGCTTAATTAGAATATAGCATAGTATAGTTAGAATATTCTGCAGACCTTTTTTGAAGAGGATAATATAATACTTTAAGATAAAGCCTTTCTTAATAGAGAAAAACTGAAGAGTAAGCTAGTTTAAATAGTCTTTAATAAAGCAGTATAAGATTGTATAGATTTAAAAATAAAATTAGATTAATATTAGAGATAACAAAAATACTAGAGAGTTTAAAATAAAATAACTACAAATAGATACTAGATATAGTAATTAGTAAATAATTTTCAAGTAAAACTTTTAAATAGATAATGATTAAAGTTGAATATATAACTAATTGTACTCTCACTAACTATTATAAATCTACAAATAATTTAATAAAAATTAACTAGTATCAAGGCCTTGTTGTAATAATAAAAAAAAAATTGTAAAATAATAAACTTCAAAAATTGAGACTTTTAAAAATAGCAAAAAATATTTATGAAAATTTTGAAAAATATATAGCAATAATGTAAATTACGATAATTTCTTTTTTTTTTTTTTTTATTGTTAAGGTGGCTTATATTGCTGAAAGAATTTTATTAGAATTGTCAATGAGATTATACATTGATAATCCTTACTGTTTGTAATTATATGAAGAGTGTACAATAAGCCACATATACAACTTTAGTTATTGTCTATTTTAAGTAGTCCACTGTATAGATGTTAGATCACCTTATTAGTTTTATGCTATGCTACTATACCTGTAACTCGCCTATAAGTTATCTATTTAAACATTCTGTTTATTAATCTATACAGATCTAATCTAACATCACTGCAACATCTAACTGCTTAAGCTAGCTAGCTCATTACAGATCTATTTATTCAGAATAGCTTAGGTCCTCTTAGAATATATTATATCAGATACATTGCTAGTATTGCAGAGCTAGTTAACTTCAAAGCAAACTTACTAGAGTAGTCTATATCCATTTTACAGATTTATCTAGTTTAGATCTTTGTAGATGTTTATACAACTCCAGGTTCTATTGTGATCTTTCACCTGTCAGTTAATCTAATTCTTTTCTAGTATCTAGCTAGTCTCAGTTACTTTTTGTCTAGAGACCTCAAAACTTTCTACTTTTATTAAACTAAGTTTTCTTCTCAAATCAGACTTTAGCTAATGTAGTTCTGTTAGAAGGTTGCATTACTTTACTGACTTAGAATTTTTACTATGCAGGTCCTCTGCTTATATATTCTATCAAGATTTATTCATGTAATATTATACTACACTTCTAAGTTTTGATCGATTTAGTACAACTCAATTTATAAGGGTATACCCCCAGAAATGAACAGGGTTTACCATAACATATTACAAGGTCTAAGAAATTATTCAAATTTGTCAATAGTAAGATTTGAACTCCAGACCTATTGCATAGCAGTTCAACAATCTAACTACTATACTAGGTTACCAGACTTTGTAAATTATGATAATTTTCAAATTAGTATACAAAGCTTTGTTTTTAAGAAAAACTTAGTATTATGAACTTGAATTTATTTATAGTAATTAATCATGTTCTATAAAAAAAATTAGATATATAAATACTTATTTTTTTTTTGCTAGTTTTATCATTCATTTCTTATTTTCATATATATATATATATATATATATATATATATTTTCTCTTTTTATATAGACAAATTAATATTTAAATAATTAGAATATCTAATTACATGTTTGTTTACTTTTTTTTCTTAAGCTATGAGTTTACTAAGCTAGCTAAGAATAAAAGCTTACTAAGCTATTTTTAATTTATCTATTAAGTTTTCTTTTACTTTTTTCTTAAACTATAAACTCACTAAGCTAACTAAGAATAAGAGTTTACTAAGCTATTCTCAATTTTATCTTATTAACTTTTCTTTTATTATCAATATCTTTTATGCTTGTAAATAATGATTTTTTTTATTTTAGCAAGATTATTTGCTGTTTCTTATATAATCTAAAAGAATATTTAAAAATATCAAAGTTTTTTTTTTTATAATTTTAATATAATTAGTAATAGAAATATTTAGTAATATATTATAATATTTATCAATAAATAAATATCTAATACTTGACCTCAAGATCAAAATTAAAATAAATAAATAAATAAATATCTAATAGGCTATAATTAAATATTTATAAAATTTTATTATTTAATTATTTTTTATAAAGTTGAACTTAATCAAATATATTTATATTATAAAACTATTATAGTTTAAATGTGTTTATTTTAAGTTTAAAGTAAAGATTTAATAAAAACTATTAACCTAATGTTTTAGGTTAAAAAAGTGTAGTAGAAACAAAATATCAATTTTTTTTTATCGTTCTGTATTTATTGAATTGTATTTAGCTTGACTATAAAACTATTATAATTTTAAAACGTTCATATTTAAGATTAAGATAAGAATCTAATAAAAACTATTAACCTAATACATATATTTTAAATTAAAAAAGCATAGCAGAGATGATAGCTAAAGTGAAGCGTTATTTTTTTTATCATTCTGTATTTATTTATTGAATTGTATTTAGCTATTGACTAAGTTCTAAAAAGCTTATATAAACTGTAAAACTATTATAGTTTTAAAATATTTATATTTAGAGTTAGGATCAGAATCTAAAAAAACTGTTTACCTGATATTTTAGTTTAAAAAAAGCGATAGCCGAAGCGAAGCTTATTTTTTTGTTATTGAGTTGTATGTAGTTAGAAACTTGCAAATTCAAATACTTGTATAGGGTATGACCAATTATTGGAATGATTAATAAGCATTTGCTATATAAAACATATAGCTAATGCTTATTAATCACCCATGATTGGTCACACTCTATACAAGTATTTGAATTGAAGTGCGGGTTGAGGGGTAGGATATGTATATCCACCGGTAGGGGCCTGCAAATTACCTATTTTTGTGGCCCGGCCCGGCCCGCACTTAGTTTTAAAATTTTTTTGTCGGCCCGGCCCGGCCCGCACTTAGTTTTAAAATTTTTTTGCCGGCCCGGCCCAGCCCGCATATATATTAATTTTTCTTCAGGCTGGCTTAACCCAGCCTAGCGCGCAAAATTTATTATAAATTTTTAAAAATTTTTAGGCCCGCATTGGCCTGCAGTTATAAAATTTTGTTTCAGGCCCGGCCCGGCCCGCAAAATTTTGCGGGCCGGGCCGGGCCGGGCTGCGAGACCCAATGCAGGCCTCTATCCACCGGTATTAATTAAATTTGTTCTTTTATAATTACAAATATTTTTTTATGCTCAATTCATAGTTACCAAGTACTTTTCAGCACTTTTAAAAAGCTAATTTTTAGCAATTCAAATTTTTGTAATAATTACAATACATTATGCCAAATAGATTAAAATATTTATTATAAAAGGACATGCTTGTTATAAATACATAAATTTAACATTATCAAAAGATAAAACTATTTAAAATAAAACATATTGTTTTACTTTGTTATCCTAACAATCAAGTCTCCCGCTGACAATGAATCGCTTTCTTTAACTTCTAAATGTTCAACTTTGCCGGAAACTGGTGCTGAAACTATTGTTTCCATCTTCATTGCTGAAAGAACACATATCGGATCTCCTTCTTTAATATCAGCTCCTTCTGTAAAAGTGTAAAACAAATAGTTATTTAACAATATGAAAATAAAAAATTCATTGGTGAAATATTACATTAAACATACCTTTTACTCTTATTTCAATGACTACTCCAGACATTGGTGCACCAATTTCACCAGGATTTCCTAGATCAGCTTTCTTACGATGGACATGTTCAACAGCTGACATTAAATGAAGGAAATTCAATGATTAAGTCATGATAATTTTAATAATAATTTATAACAAGTTGTAAAGTTTTAAATACCAGCGTTTCTATCATCTACACCAACGGCTCTAGCTTCACCGTTTAATTCAAAGAATACATCTCGCTTTCCGGTAGCTGTATTTAGAGGCCCAATAGCCAAATATTTTATTATTAGGGTAACACCCTCTTCGAGGTCTATGCAGAATTCCTCGCCAATCTCAGGCTTGCCCAAAAAATATCTTGTTGGGATTACTGAGAGATCTCCATATTTTTCAAGTTGTTCACAATATTCTGCAAATACTTTTGGATATATTGCTGCAGAGGTTACATCAACATCGCGAATGGACCGACCATATTTTGCTATTAAAGTCTTTTTAAGCTCATCAAGATCCAAAGGTGGCATTGTTGCACCAGGTCGACCATCAATCCGCGGAAGATCACGGATGATCTAATTAATAATTAACAAAAAATATAAGTAAATTCTTCAGGCTTATAATAATTATATGTAGAATTATTACATTTGAGCGAAGTGGTTCAGGAAATCCACCATATGGTTGTCCTAGATAACCTTGGAAAAACTCTACAACCGAAACCGGAAATGAGATATTATTATTGTTTGCCTTCTCAATGACCTAATGAATGAAAATAAGCATTTGGACAATTAACACGGAGGAATGTTGTTTAGACATAAAAAAGATTATAAATCTTACGTCATCATATGTCAATTTATTAGTAACCATAAATTGAGCAAGATCTCCTACGACTTTTGAACTAGGTGTCACTTTAATAATATCTCCACATAGTTTATTGGCCTCAGCATAAGCTTTCTTGATTTCTTTCCATAGTTTACCGAGACCCAACTGCGAGGCCTGAAACATTAAATTTGTGTATTGACCACCAGGCATCTCATGTTCGTACACTGAAGAATCACCACTTAAAACTCCCGATTCAAAGCAACTATATAATTTGCGTGCTTGTTCCCAATATTCATTCAATGCATGTACATTTTCCAATCTAATACCTGTACCAAGGTCAGAATGTTCGAGCGCAGAAACGACGGCACCCATAGATGGTTGAGAAGTTACACCAGACATACCTTAAATAAATGGAATAAAGAATATAATAAATTAATAAATCAAATTATTATTAAGAATACTATATGATACAATACGTACTATCAATAGCCAAGTCAATTACATCTGCTCCTGCTTTAGCGGCTGCCAACATACTGGCAACGCCAGTTCCTGCTGTATCGTGTGTATGGACATGAATTGGTAGATCAGGCCACCTTTTCCTTATACTACCGATCAAAATACTTGCAGCTTCTGGTTTCAACAAACCAGCCATGTCCTTAATACCGAGAACATGAATTCCCTCATCAACTAACTCTTGTGTTAAGTCTAAGTAATAATTAATATCATATTTTGTTTTTTTTGGATTAGAAACATCACCCGTGTAACAGATTGCAGCTTCTATTACACCACCAGCCTTTCTCACAGCATCAATTCCTAGTTTCATATTTTCAACATAGTTGAGAGAATCAAAGATACGAAAAATGTCCACACCATAATCCTTTGCCTTTTTACAAAAATCATATATGATATTATCCGGATATGAAGTATAACCCACAGCATTTGCACCACGAAGCAACATTTGGAAAGGGATGTTTGGAACAAGCTTGCGTAATTTAGTCTAAGGATTCATGAAATTTACAAGAATTATAAGTTTTAAGCGTCTTTTTATTGTCACTTTAATTCTTTATGTTAAAAGAAAACTTACCAAACGGTCCCAAGGATCTTCGTACAAAAATCTCATAGAAACATCAAAAGTTGCACCACCCCACATTTCAAGGGAATAAGCATTTGCAAGCGCGTGAGCTGTATGAGGAGCAATATTTAATAGATCTGAAAATAAAATAATAAAAATACATAAATTATAAATAATCAGTTAAGAAAAATGACATGATTGAAATATATTATAAATGAGCGATTAATTTACCAACAGTTCTGACTCTAGTCGCCAACAAACTCTGATGGGCATCCCTCCATGTAGTGTCCATGATTAATACACCGTCATATTTGCGGACAGCTTTAGCGAATGCATCAGGTCCTTGTTCTAGAATTATGTGTCTCCATCCATGATCAGGGGAATTATTTATGTCAATAGACTCGGAACCATCTTGGGAGCGGATGGTCGGAAGATATAACGGTTTTTTAAATGAAGGTTCACCCTATACTCGAGATATAATATTAATTGTAACGGAAAAATTCTAAGGCAGCAAAATAATCAAAATTGAATAAACGTACAATTTGGCCCTTAATGCTGCTTCCATTGACAACCACATCACCCAAATATTTCAAAATTTTTTGAGCACGGTTCTTACTTCCTACAAGCCTAAAAAGATCAGGAGTATCGTCGATGAAAGTTGTCCACACATTCCCATTAGCAAATGCATTATGGGTTAATAAACGTTGTAAGAAAGGTATATTTGTCTTTACGCCACGGATCCTAAATTCGACCAAGGCACGAAGAATTTTTCTTCTGGCAATTTCATAAGTTTTTCCCCAACATGTAACCTTCACTAATAGAGAATCATAATGAGGAGTAATTACTGCACCAACATAGCCGGCACCACCATCTAATCGAACGCCGTTTCCACCAGCCGACCTATAAACTTCAATTTTTCCAGTATCTGGTGTGAAGTTTTGAGCAGGATCTTCAGTTGTCACACGACACTGAATAGCGTGACCACGAATTTGCACACGATTTTGTATAAGCGATTGATGAGTGAGAAGAGCACCACCAGCGATTTGAATTTGAGCGGCAACTATATCAATACCAGTGATCTCCTCTAAACAAAGGTAAATAAACATTTATTCAATTAATTAATTAATTATATAATTGATTTTTTAATTAGTTATTTAAATTATAAAATTCACCTGTAATCGTATGCTCAACTTGAATTCGGGGATTTATTTCAATGAAATAATGTCTATTATGTTGATCAACTAAAAATTCAGCAGTACCAGCATTTCGATAATGCACATGTTTTGCAAGTTTTACAGCATCATTAAGGATCGCTTCACGCACAGAATCCTAATTATAAAGTTAATATAGAAAGTCAATATTTGTTTAAACGAATAAATAAACGTAAAAAAAAAAAAAAAAAAAAAAACCTTCAAATTAATTGCAGGTGCTACTTCAACTACTTTTTGATGACGCCTTTGTACAGAACAATCACGCTCAAATAAATGTATTACATTTCCTTCTTTATCAGCTAACAATTGAACTTCAATATGTTTTGGTTTATCCAAGAAACGTTCCAAGAAAACAGTTCCATCGCCAAAAGCAGCTAAAGCCTCAGATTTTGCACGGTTAAACGAATCCTCAAGAGACTCTAAATCACGAACCACTCTCATTCCACGCCCACCGCCACCCATTGCCGCCTTAATAATAATCGGAAAGCCATATTCCTCTATGAAGGCTTTAGCTTGATCAAGTGTGGAAACTGGCCCCCGAGTGCCTGGAACTACGGGAACACCGCATTCGATAGCTTAAAAACAAAAATAACAATGAATAATAATTAATAAATATACAATAACAACATTTATTAAAACAATAAAATAAAATAAAATAAAATACAAATTGCAAACCAATTTCTCTTGCTTTAGTTTTGTCACCCATTTTTTCGATAACATCAGGCGTAGGGCCAATAAAAGCGATTCCAGCCTCTTCAACCTTTCTTGCAAATTCAGCATTTTCCGAAAGAAAACCGTAACCGGGATGAATCATTGATACACCTTTCAGCTTTGCAATTTGAATTATTTCATCTTGGGCAAGGTAGGCTCCGACAGGGGTATGCTTGCTCGGGTCACCTATCTGATAAGCTTCATCGGCTTTATAACGATGCATTGACAATCGATCTTCATGACTGAAAATAGCGACAGTTCTCATTGAAAGTTCATGAGCAGTTCGAAAAACTCGAATAGCTATTTCCTAATAGATTAATAAATTAATAAACGAGTCATCGAAGAGATGACATTAACGTGAAATATTATAGAAATAATAAGTTTACCCCGCGATTAGCCACCAATAATTTTGGAAGGTGGCCCAACACTTGACTATCCCGACGGATAGTATCTATCGAATGATAAAGTTCACTATTCATGTTAATGTCTTGTTATATTTGATAAAAATATAGGTTTCTTTATAGCTTTAGTGATAGAGAAATATTAAAGGTATAAATAAGAAAGAGTTGGGATTGATTGTTTAAATAAGGGTTGAAAGCGTGTCAGATCTCGTTTTATACTTTATCGAATGCTTAAGCTAATTGATAATCAATGTTTTTAAAATCTCCGATAATCCCGACGAAATTGGTTTAAATTAGTGTAGCGGTAGCATAAATACTAACTGCTTATCGTTATGATAAGAAGTTGTTGGGAGTATATAATTTATAAATTTATTGGTCGAAACTCAATATAAAATCACTTAAAAACTTTATTTCCAAATTTAGAACTAATTCCAAGAATTTGGTAAGACTATGATAAATATTTCCATGAACTGCATAGAAGTAGATCAATCATGCATCGTATCATTCTAGTCACAAAAGAAAATCATTCCTAATTTAACATTTTATTAAAATTTAATTAACCGTTAACGTTAAAATCCATCTTCAGATCTTTATTTGAGTTTTCCTGTTTCGGATTTTTTTCGGGTAGATTAATTGATAATCTACAACTACCATAAAATCAACCTTCGATATTTTCCGATTGGGCTTATTTAATAATTTCAAGGATAATATTATCGTTATGGCAAGGACTTCACATTTTATCAAGTGATCTTTAATATACGTGTAGGTGACAAATCTGCCGGCTATATTTGCGATTTCGAATTAGCTTATCGGGCATATTGATTACAAATTAACGTTAAAAATCGTAAAAATTTCTTTATGATCGTAATTAGTTTGAAACCAAAATTGACTTTCGGATTTAACCGATTTGGATACAAAATCCGAATAAATTATTAATAAGTTTATATACTGTATTTTAGAAAACTAATACGTAATAATTTTAACATAATCGATAAATGAGCTTGTGTTTAAATTAAAAGCTTGAGATACAACTAGTGATGGGACCCAAATACTTTCAGCAGTTTTCGGTCGGGATTTGGGCTTTTGCCGAAACCCAAATGTAATCCCAAATCCCAAATACAATCCCAAAACATACTCCAAATTCCAAAAACATGAGCCCAAATCCCAATGATAAAAATTTTTACTATATGATCGCTGATTCAAAATAAATATAATGACGTTTTTACTGTAATAAATATAATGATACTTTTTATAATGGTGTATTTTGACTACTTATTATTAATAATAAATAAATTAATATCTTTTTTTTTTAAATAATAAAGAATTTTTCAAAATTTAAAATATTTCTTGTAACT